TTGTAACCTTATTAAATTATATTGAATGAGTTATAAGCAAATTATTTCATGCTACCATTTCTGATAGTAATGCCCAATGAATCTTTCTAGATATTTTTGATAGATCCTACAATTAATCCCCAACTTGCATCTATTCATTTAGCAACCATTCAAAGTTATAACAGCATTGGAAAATGGGAATTATAACCAGCCCTTGCAATCAACCATCACAATACACCCACAATCTTCTGCTCAAAATCTGGCCACTTGGCAACCAGCATGTATTTATGATGAGTGCAGCATCCTGAGGTCATGTGTTGGCCATTTGCAATCTTCCCAGCCAACTTCCAACAAGCAAACTTCTTCAATGGAGGAAGGCTGCGTTTACTTATTGATTTCATGATTCATTTAACAATTACAATGATTTGCTTAACAATCGGTGGGTTCCTACTGGTTTGGATTGTTTTGGGTGAACCAGTAGTGGTTTGGCGGCCTGGGTTGCTGGAACCGGCAGCGATCCGGCCCTGCCACATCCCTGAACTGATTCTCTGGCTGGTGCCATAGACACCACTATCTTGTTTTTTGCTTTTGTGCATGCGCAGAACAATTTTTATTGCACTGCGCATGCGCACAAGCGAATCGGCATTGCCTGCTGGAACCCACTCCTGTTAGCAATCATGGCGGAACAAGTAGTAAAATTGGGCATGACTTACTTAATAACCACCTTGCTTAGCAATGAAAAGTCTAGTCTCGATTATGGACGTAAATTGAGGACTACCTATAACAGGGCTGGCAAACTCATGACCCACAGGCCGGATGTGTCATTCTCTGGCCATGGCCATGCCCATGCCCAATTTAGTGAAGGGGAAAAAGTTGTAAAACATCATGTGACGATGTGAGTTTGACACCCCTGACCTGTACTGAAAAAAAGAGTTAAGAGTTCTTCATAGTTTAAAATCACAGTCTGGGTCAAATTTGAAAACTTGCATTGCTTTATGCAGAACTTTGGATTTGAGCAGACTGAATCTTATATCTTGATTGCAAAGGACTACTACTGCTAGGACTCTCTTTGCAGCAATATAGCTTCATTTCCTTAGAAAATATCTAACAAACAAGATTCAGTTGAGATTCATTATGTTACGAGATAATCTGTAGATTCGTGTTTGTCAACCGTAGTCATTTTAAGATAAGTGGACTTCCTTCCAGAATTCCCCAGGCAGCACTGTAGGGGTATTCTGGGTGTTGAAGGCTACACATCTTAAAATGGTTAAGATTTAGAAACATTACTATAGAAGTATGTACCTTCTGAAAAGTGTACTTTAAAGTTTTGAACTGCATACAGATTTTGAGACTGTGGAAGAAAACAAAGAAACACTGTTTGTTTGCAATTCAGATCAAAGGACTGAAAGCATTTGCTGCGTCCATCTTTTTAATAAGTATTGTGTATACTGACAAGTGAAACAGAAGTTGATGCATCATTTTGGATTTTAGAGTTACTAATGTGTATAAACACAATAAAAAGCCAATATATAATCAACAGATAAGCTTAGAAGACTAGTTTGCAAAATAAAGAATGAAGGGTGGGAGGGGTTTTTTTTGTCTCTGTTCAAGCATTCGCCCACTAATCAAGGCTAGCATGTATCTATATGTACAATGAACTTGTTCTGACTTGTTTTTGTCTGCCTTTATAAAATTAAAGAAGAATAGATCCTCACCCAAGCATTCCAAATATAAAAACAAATTTGGAAAAAAATTGCTACAACATGTTGAGCAATGGATTGTTAAAAAAGCTACTAAGAAACACATTGATCAATTATTTTTGTTAGGAAAAAAAGCATCTATTTCCTTTGTTGCTAGCCTCTTCCTCCAAAGAACAGGTACCTGCTTCAACTTTACTATTGTCAGCAAAACATTCATTGGTATGAAGGGTCATGCTTTGTTCTCCAAATAATACTATTATATAATGCAGTAGGATTATATGAAGACATAGGCTGCTCATTTTAGAATCCTCAGTTTTAATCCTAGAAAGGCTAACTTTCTGCTTAAAAGATTGGGGAGGAATGGAAGACACACAGAGTAATGAAATTAGCTGCCATCGGCATAAGGCAAAATTATAGCAGGTGAGCCAAAGAACACTCTCAGCTATGGCAGGGACCCTAATAACACATACTTTAACACACACACATACTCCAACCTACTTCAAACCTTGGAGTACACACACACACACACACACACACACACACACGGAAATGCTTTATTATGTATTAATACAAATAAAAGCAAGTTATATTGAAGTTAGAAAAAGATACAGAGGGAGGGAGAGAGAGAGAAAGAGAGAGAAGGGAGAGTTTTGTATGGAAAGGAAATGCATTATTAATTATATTTAAAGAAAGATTGCCTTGAAAATGTTTGGTAATGCACTCCCTGTGTAGATTTAAATGCTTATTGTTTTTCCACTTAAAGCAATGGAAATTTAATTCAATATTTTCTTGACAGTTTCTTTTTTTAAATGCTTATTTCCAAAGAAACATTATTTAACTTCTGATGATGATGCTTTATATTCAGAAAATATTGTTTAGTTTTCAAAGAAGATAAGCAGAATGAGCTAACCATAAAAAGACAAGGATGTTATACCATGAAGAAACAATTTGGTTTAGTTTAATTCTTTTTTTAAACCTACTGCAGACAAAAATCAACCTCATAGAAAAGGGGGAATAAGATTAGATTTTATGAATGTTATAAACTCCATAGGACACCAGCACAATGTAGGTTGGGAAAGGCATTGTAGCAATGCGCTCTGTATGCAATCAGAAGCCAATTGTTAGTGGACTGTGTACAAGCACATACTGTGCTCAATGATCTGATGAGGTATTATGGATATGATGCAGAGAGACCTTGTGGATTAGAACCTCACCATTTGTTTAAAAAGTGAAAGCAACTTAACATTTACACTGAGCTTGTCTGAAGAGTGGCTGCTCTTTGGATGGCAAGCTGAAGAGAGAGTATTTTCTTTAGTCTTTTATTGCTTTCGGGAATTTATGGTATGGTTGAGAATTGAGCTGGGGTTGAAAACTTGATGTATGTGCATGGGGGAATTCTCCATTCCTAAATTGCATTATCTTAAATCTTCTACACCACACCTATGTTATTAATTCTGTGTGTAATGTGAAAAAAGTTTATGCAAAACAAGTATATTATTATAAAACTTTTTAAAATGGAAGAGAAATAGCTTATTAAAATATAGCCTGGAGATAGTTTGTAACACTGATTTTAAATGAGAAAGCATTATTGAAGCATGATTATTGTGCAATATACAGTATCAATCACTTAATATATATTTTATATGCAATCATATATTTATATATAATCATATATTTTCATTTTATATATATTATATTCTTACTCCTCTTTTCCACCCCTCTTTCCACTTTCAGCTTTAGTGAAGGGATTCGGGTTGTAGTTATAATGTGAAAGTATATTAAATAATTATATTCATACAGGCTACAGACTCCTATACCAGACATTTCTTATTTTAGGATCAACTCTATTGTAATACTTTGAAATTACACCATTATTGAACACTAAAATACACTAAATACACTAAAAACATTAAAATGGAGATAAATAATCCCTATATCTAACATGCAGTACAACCAGAGAATGGGATACTCAATATAATAGTATTGCAGTTGATAACTGAGTAAAGGTTTTGAAGAATGGAAAAACAGGATATTATTATGAACACAACTGAGAGTCCAGTTTCATAATCTACATGAATAAGGTTAAGAGTTTCACTGGCCTTCAGCTATATCCTTTCATTGATGGGAGGTCAGGATAGGTGATCCTCTTTTGGCTTGGCCCAAGGTAAAACCCAAAACAATACCCTTTTGTCTAGAGCTAGAGGAGCAGAAGCAACAACTTGATAGGCTGAAAAATGAAATTTTGTGTATTGAGAGTTACCTGCTTCTTCCAGTTTCCAAGATAAGACAGTTTAGCTTATGGTAGTAGAGAAACTGATAGGAAAAGGTAAGAAGTCAAGAAAATCAACACAGGAGACCTGTTTGAGAGAAATTTTGCTCACATCATGTGATTTCTAAAATTTTAACCAAATCCATAATGGATTTGGATTCCAGAATCTACATTCCAGAAAATGAAAAGTTTTCCCTGTGATTTGATATTCTATGGGATCCCTTCCAGTTGAATATGGAGAAAATGAGATATTTATTGTATTTACAATCTAGGTTTTACTGTATTGTTGAATGTATCAATTCCAAGTATCAGTTAAGTAAATTTCAGATATTTTGCTTTGAAGCATGAACATATTTTGCCTTTATACAGGAATATAATGAAATAATATATCAAAAAATTCACCCATAGAGAATAGCTGTTTACATAGGAACTGTAGATATTTTTTTAATTGATTTGTCTGGGTTTGTGTATGTGTGTGTGTGTGAACCCTAGGACCATGCAACAAAATTATGTCATAACTCCCAGAACTGAAAATTGCCTATCTTAGCTCATGTATACCAGGAAAGATATAAGTTGAAAAGATCAAAATAATATTCCTTAGAAGACTATACTGCTGTGCATAATAATTTATTGAAAACAGGTAACATCCTCTAACCAATATGTTAGTCCAAATAAGTGCAGCTAAAGACGTTTTAAATGGAATTGGTGCTCCCAGGCTGCAAGATTGGGCCTTTGTGCATTGTTTTGTGTCAAGGATCATTTGAAAAATTTCTAAACACAAAATTATTTTTCAATGCTGCTACATGAGCCTTAATAAGTGTGAGCATGCTTAGGTCTCAGCATTGCATTTTATGTTTTGCCAGTTTGCCTACTAGCGATCTGCTGAACAGAATTTCCAAGGCAGAGGTGCAAGTCTGTGCCCAACAATCCCCTTTTGTTTTTGCAGATGTTTAGGCTTAAAGCGGTGTTGTGGAGCTCAGGCCGTGTTTGTACTTGCATACTGCTATTCTCTGCTCATTGTCTAAACCTGTGTGCATTGTTCTTCTTGACAGGTGATAACTATCCTGTGCAGTTCATTCCATCAACAATGGCAGCTGCTGCTGCTTCTGGACTCAGCCCTTTACAGCTCCAGGTATGTGCCAGAATAAAAATATGTGGGCTCAAAGCCAGTACTTTAGTGGAAAACTGCTAACCAGCTGTATGCTAAGTAATGGCTTGAATGTTAAGTAATTTTTTAAGCACAGCCCCAGAAGGATTAACACCTTATGTACTAAATATGCTGCAAACAGAGCAGCATGTGTCAAGCTTGATGCTGGGAAATGCAGCCAACTTTGTATTTTTATCAATTACTTAATAATTTCTGGCACAATCCAATCTATGGTTAAGCGCTTTTAAGCCCATTGATTTGGTGTAAAAATTAAGCAGTCCTTTAAGTCTTGTCTTCAACTGAAAGGAGTTTCAAAGGTACTTAAATTGGAGAAAGGATGGAAGAAACAAGTAGCTCTTGGTGGAATTTAGATTCAAAATATTTTATTTCTCTTAAGCTTTTTCCAGATGTAGCCTGTTTAGCTTTTGTTCCTCATAGTAGGTGTCTGAAAAATGTCGATTTCTCCTTCTTTTGGGCTTTGTAATGACTGTTTCCTAAACTGTAGACTTGCAGCTTCTGTATTTATGGAATCTCAGTCTTTCCATGCGTTAAGTTGGTTGGATGCCAGCAGCCATCAGGAGTCTGAGTTTGGTCCCTTGCTAGGTCATTTATTTATTTTTGTCATAGGGGGAACTAAATGTTGTGTGAAAATGATTTATATTCCAATTTATTATATAGCCTTTTAATATTCCCCAAGAAAAGGCACAATAGTATCAAATAATGAAGTAGCAGTCAAAAGCTTATAAAGTGGGTGTGTTTAGCAATCATATTAGAGGTTTACCTTTTGGTTATTTAAATGTTGTAGCTAACACATCTTGCAATTGTTATCAACCACAATTATAGTAGTATTAATTTAGTAGTGGCAAACATTGCAGTTTAGTTAGAGGAAAAATAGACTTAATGCCATCTTGTTTGGATTACAGAATATTTTAAAACATTAAAAAAATCCAGCCTTAATGATTACAGATTTTTTTAAGGATTCTGATAAATGAAAGGAGAAATTTGCTCAATTATCATTTTTAGTGCAGAATTGGATGGAATCTAAGAAAAGAGAAGCAGCACAAACATCGAAACCTGCTGGAGAAAAGTATATCTGAATTTAAGACTACAGATAAGAGAAACTGAGAAAAATCAGTTTACAGGCTTCTTATTACAAGGCAGTTCTGTTTCTGATAGGGTCAGGTATGGTGGCTATTGAGTGGACTAGGAGAAAACAACTGAAGAGTCCGCCTGTTTATCTACAACAATTCTCTAATTTGTATTATTGATCTACCACTTTCAATTGGAAATGGTTGAGGACAGCAACGAATAATCAAATGGGTATCCTACTTGTTTGTTTTAGGTCTATTTCAAAGGATATTTTCTTGTTCAGGTGTTCCCCTTTCACCTGGAGACACTTATATCTTTTCTTTCTGAGAAAGTTCTTCAAAAGAAGACTGAGGTTTTATAGCAGTTAGGGAAAAAGATCTGTAAGATATACTGGGAAGGTTTGGTAAACTGGATCTGCTGATCATATCTTATTTTCTTCTTTTGAAAGACTCCACTCCCATGTTGTAGAAATAGCATAACACATATGTATTGTGACACTATTGTATATCTAAGAAGAATTGAAGCAACACACACAGGCCCGAACACAATTATTCTTTCTGAAGAATTTGCTGAGATTGCTGACTGAACTCTTCCTAACAGCTATAGTTCTTTCAAAACTATGATATATAGGTTTCAGTGCTCTGAAAGGGATAACTATAGCATCCCGTAGCACACATAACAATGTCTTTCAACATGGTAGACAACTTGGTGCATTCCAGATATTGTGCTTTATATCTCCTAATCATTTCAGTATATCCAATGGCGAGGGATTGGGAACTGTAATATAAATATCTGGAAAGTCTTAAGTTTTTTCAGAGATGAAAGTTAAGCAGTCTTTTGCCATGTATCCTAAAGAAGAGAAATGTGTGGTCCACTGAGTAATGCAGAAAACTATTATCTGTAAGCAAGTTGTAATTCATTCATTCATTACTTGAGTTGTCCAAAATATTGCATGATCTAGATCATGTTCTGTATGACAGCATACTGAATTCTATTGAGTACAGTTCCTGATTAAAATAGGCATAACAAGCTATTGCCTAATCTGTGAGCCATTCAAAGTAGCAGTAAAGTAAAGGTAAAGGTTCTCGTCGCACATATGTGTTAGTCGTTCCCGACTCTAGGAGGCGGTGCTCATTTCCATTTCAAAGCCGAAGAGCCAGCTCTGTCTGAAGACGTCTCCGTGGTCATGTGGCCGGCATGACTCAATGCCAGAGGCCTACAGAACGCTGTTCCCTTCCCACCAAAGGTGGTCCCTATTTTTCTACTTGCATTTTTACATGCTTTCAAACTGCTAGGTTGGCAGAAGCTGGGACAAGCAACGGGAACTCACTCCATTACATGGTGCTAGGGATTCATACTGCCAAGCTGCAACCTTTCTGATAGATAAGCTCAGAGTCTTAGCCTCTGAGCCGCCACATCCATATTCAAGTATTCTTTTTAAAGGCTTGTTTCCACTTTGCTTCAACAGCAACAACTTGTGGAGGAAATTAGTTTGCGATGTATCCATTTTAAATATAAGGAATGAAGACTGAAGAGTACATAGAAATTTATATGAGTCTAATCGACCTGTCTTTCTCATACTGATCTTTTTCATTATTTTATTACTCTTACAAGACCATGACTCTAGACGTGCAGACATTCTATCCTTAAAAGGAAAGGGATTTGGGGTGGGGGTGTGGAGAATAAGCATTAAATTTGAATTAATAATAAGTGGATGAAATTCTAATCACCCCATGACTACTTTCAGTGTTAAGGAATCACATCTGGGCTCATGTTGACAAATGGTCTCTTCCTCCCATCAGTGTTTGAATTAACTAATTAATCTATATTAATATACAATGAGAAGGTTCAGTTATATGACCCAGTGCAATAATCTTATAGCCGTTCTCCCCTAGACTTAGAAAGGCTGAGTATATTGGGGGTTTTTTCCTCCTTCTATACCACAAAGCAAAGGGGGGGGGAAAAACAGTGGTGTGGGTGTGTATACGTGTATATAAAAGGGAGGGGGGCAAGGAAGAAAGACAAGAAAGAAAAAAAGGCAATTATGTTAACAAAATGTTCTTTAGAAGAGTGCGTGGAGGCAGAGGGGAGGGTGAAAGAGTAAAACCAACCTATAGCTTCCCCTTTATCCCTGATGCCTCCCTGAGCAATTTGTCCTTCAAAGTTTATCACGTATAACATTAATGAGCCTTGGCAACTCTTAGTCCTGGTTGCAGCTGTACGCTGAAAGTTTTCATCATCAATGAAATTAAACAACACCCGCCACAAAAGCATGTCCAGCCAGCTTCTTTATCCTCTCGCTCTTTTCTGCTCTTCGCTTTAGCACAACGTAACGACCTTTTGTTATACCACAGGGTGCAGATCCAAAGTATTGCTGAAGCATTGCAGCGCCTGCCTCAGGGGTACAATATTAGCGGTATGAAGCCAAAGAATGCTATTTTTAGTTGAACAGTTCGGCAGATGGAGGCAGGAATACTCATATATCTGAAGGTTGAGGGTTTGAACCATTAATTTTGATAATGTATTTAACCCTGGGAACAATCAGAAACTGTAACTCTAAGGTTACAATGCTTTTGACCTTTACAGAACAGAGGGCACTCGGTACAGTAAACAATATATTACATTTCTACTTATTCTAATTCTCTCACACATATAAATTTCAGGACAGGGTTGACATTTGCTTTCCTCAGCTATTTTCGTGCAGGCCCTTAAAGTAAGTAGAGAAGAATGTGCAGGAGAGAGGCCTCTGTAATGTGACAGTCATGTAAATATGGCCTTTAAATAGCCAAGGCATTAAATGTAGCCTTTTATGAAGAAATATTATTCTCAAGAACCAGCATCTCATTTGTTCCTCCCTCTCCCCTCACCCCCACCCCGTGGAAAAGTTGGTATATGAGCCGTGTCTCTTTAGGCATTTCCTGTATATTGCTGTGAGCTTAAAGTGAATTTTATTGGGGTTAATGCTATGCAATAGGCTATTCTAGAGAAAAGGTTTGGCTCCAGCTTTTCATTGTGTAAATGGGTCATACCTGTTTGTGGCTTTGTGAAATGGGGCACACTCCACCACAGCAAATACAGCAGTTAGATATCACACAGCTTAAGTATTCCTAATTAAAGTATCTCCATGTGTCAGCATATTGGTAATGTTTTATTTTAATCCATTTATTTTGTTTATGAAACACTGACATATGTTTAGATTGTGAAATATATGAGCCTTAAAAATCACTTTATTGAAGAAAATTAATTCCTACAATGCTGTCTGGGTAATGTGTTCAGTCACCCAGTCAGTCACTGGCGGGCCTGCCACTCTTAATGTTGCTTAGACACACTTTAACAGTTTTATCTGACATAACATTTCTCTGATGCAGCCAGCAATAATAATTTCCCCGCACAAATGCTAAACAGGGGTTTCCTTTATTTTTATTTGCAATCCAGTAAAGAATTGGGGTTTGGGGAGAAAGCGGAAAAAGAGATGGGAAGACTGCGTAAAAGATTCAAGTAAGACCAATCAAAATTAAAACCAGCTTCCTACCTTTTCAAAGTTTGACACTGCAATTTGTTTTTCAGCAGGTAGATTTTCAGGTCAATGCTGTGAGTGACTGACTGTCAGCGGGAATTCCACCTAGACAAGTAATTTCACTTAGAGTATTAGTGACAGATTGCTCACTTCTTCGTATCACTAGAGAAAATAAACTTAATATTGTTACAGGCACAGTTTCTGTCTTCATTAGCCTTATAGAAACATTCTGCCTTGTACGCTCTTTCTCTCTCTCAACCCCTCCCCCCAATGAGTCTATTTTGCTATTATTTTAAACCAAATACTCCTGCTTATCATATCTCTGCTAAAGTGAATATTTTGCCAAGATTACCACTGTAAAAGACAGTCTGCTTGAATA